TCAAGTATATCAACCTGGTCATATCCAAATGAAAGATATTCAAAAAATGCCTACACCACAAAACAAAGTTGATTTATAAAGATGCCTAGGTTTTGTCATAATTTTATCCCTGTATATTCTGAATTTTTGTGACCAAAATATCTTGCACCAACTGTATTATGATCCCTCTGATCTTACCAAGTAGGTGAATCCAAGAAAGGCCTCAGAACATGTCTGTTGCTGGAGGACAAGCCTATCATGGTGGGTTCTAATATCCTAATGACAGCTCAGGTGAACTATTCTAACATAGAAAAGAAAACTCACTCTCTAGTTTTCAGAATTCAAAGGTTCCACACATACCTTCGCAACAAGTATTTCATTGTTCGTACTGATCACAAGCCATTGGAAATACCCTATGGAAAACCTCTCACAAGTGCTCCTACATGACTATATCCACTGAGAAAGATCCAAGGGCATGATTTCAAAGTACAATACAATTCAAGTCATATTACTGATTCTCTTAACAGACTTCTAAGTCCAATTAAAAATGCATATTCCTCCAGATCAACAAGTGGATATTATCAATTCTGAGTTAGAATATAGCCTGCACATCTCTCTCATTCATTTTGGTCACAGCCAAGCAGAGGAGATTCAGCAAACTATGTCTGATCACATCTAGCTGCAACAACTCAAGAATCAGCAGAAAGGTTACACAAACACATTCAACTGAGCAAGCATCTTCTTGCTGTTCATTCAGAGATGAACTAGGACTCTCCAGGAATGTAAATTTCAAATGCAAACAAAGTGATTATTCTAGAAACTCCACAAGGAGATATGCTTGATTATATACACAGAAATCATATGGGGGCAGAGAAAAAAAGGTGCAAGTGGAAATTGCAAAGACACTGGCAAAGCTTTTAGTCTTCCCTGGATGCTGGGATGGTGCCAGAGAGCTGGAGAATTACAAACATTATGCATTCACCAAAGGTTGCATGAGCCCAGCAATTTCAACTTCAGAAGGGGGGGCAACTTCTAGAAACAATCATTTGAGCTGGAATTAATAGTCATAGGGACAAATATGGATTGAGTAGGAAGAGCAATTATGGGGTTCTTAAGGGAAAAACTTATTTAACTAAATTGCTGGAGTTTTTTGGAAGAGGTAGCAGAGAGGTTTGACGTGGGGAATTAATTTAGTATGGTGCACAAAAACTTCCAAAGGCATTCCACACAACAGACCTGTGGGAAAGGTTATAGCTCATGAAATACAAGGAAGAGTAGCTAAATGGATGCAAAGTTGACTGAGATGTAGAGAACAGAAAACAATGGACAATGGGTTTGGGAATTCCCTGCCTGGAAGCATGGTAGAGGTATTCAAGAGGACATTGGATGATTGTTTGAATATAAACAGTGCGCAGGGTTACAGGCAAAGGATGGGAGAACAGTATGACATCATGGTGCTCATTCGGGGAGCCAATGCAGCACGATGGGCTGAATGGCCTCCTTCTGCACCGTAACAATTCTGGTTCTGAAAATGATCAACTTGAAATGTTAACCCTGTCGTCGCCTCCACAGCTGCTGAATATTTTCACTGTTCTTGAGACTAAATCGATCAGATGTGTAAAAACACACCTTTGTGGTGGGTGAGATATGAACCCAGTCAAAACGGTAGGGACTGTAACACTGTGCCACAAGATCTTCCAGCCTTGTTCTAATTTAAAAAGGGGTCTCTAAGTCAAAATAAAGTTTGTAGGCTGGCCAAACAGTGGCGTGCAGAGAGACAGGAACAAGTTCCTAAGATGTGGGTGTCACTGGCTGGTCCATTGTAATTGCTCATGAGGAAGTGGTGGGGAGCTACCATCTTGAACTAATGCAGCGTTTGTGATGTAGGTACACCCACACTTCTGTTACGGAGTAGGTTCCAGGATTTTGACCCAGTGACGGTGCTTTTTTTTTTATTATTGCAAAAATATGTGCATGAAAATTCTTGATCCACATGCACAGGTACTAAAGCAGTTCTGTGCAGCCTTTGCATTTCAAGAAAAACAAACACTGGAATTTGACATTCCCCGCAGTTGCAAAAACCAAAGGCATTTCTTACTCATGCAGTACTCATACATTAAGGCAACGAGAGGGTCTAATAGAAGAACAGACCGTCACTATGTTTCGGCACTAAGTCCTCAGACAGTGGTCCTTCCCCACTGTGCCTTAGTGGGAGCTGCCCCAAGCTTTAGTGCATCCCTCAGCAAGTAGTCCTGGACCTTGGAATGTGCCAGTCTGCAACACTTGGTCCAGGCTGACTCTACACTGGAAAACCAACAAGCTTCATGCAGACCAAAGAGTGACTTTCACCGAGTTGATGGCCCTCCAGGACCAGTCGATGTTTGTTTCAGCATGCGTCCACAGAACAGAGACCTGTGTCATGTAGATTCTTGAGACAAAGCTCAATAAAAACCATTGCCTCCCTCTCCAGAAAAAGCACATTCCAGAAGAAGAGATAGTAGGAACTGCTGATGCTGGAGAATTTGAGATAACAAGGTGTAGAGCTGGATGAACACAGCGGGCCAAGCAGCATCAGAGGAGGAGGAAAGCTGACATTTCGGGTCTGGACCCTTCTTCAGAAAACTCTTCTTCAGAATTACATTCCAGAAGAAGATGTGTGACAGTCTTCACCGGCACAGCTGCTTTGAGGGTAGTGTGTGGCACTGCACAGAGACCGGGTGTGCATCAAGGATTTGACAGGTCGTGCCCTTCTCACCACTAGGTAAGCTTTTTGGAAAGCTCTGGCAATGAGGCATTCTGACAAATAACTTTAGCTGTCTGCTCAGGGGCAACCTGATGTGATCCACCCTCTCCTACATCCCCACACAGTCTCGAGGGCATCATCTGCTGCTCACTTCCTGATGGATTTGTGGTCAAAGGTATTTCTCTCACAAATTTTTCCACAAGGGACAGGTGATACAAGATGATAAAACTAGTTGGAGCATTCTGTGGCAACAAGGCCAGACCCATCCTTCGCAAAACCGGGGGCAGGTTGAACCACAGTATGTGGTGACACTTAGTGTTTGCACACCAAGCGTCTACACACAGACCAATGCGGCCACACATAAAGGTGACCATCAGGATGAGACTAGCGTTTGGTGCATTCTTCCTTATCCGAAACTTTGTACATGGTGTCCCTATTGACACAGTCCATCTTTGACCTCTAGATGAAGTGGAAGATGCTTGCAATGCAATGGCACAGGTTCTGGGAATTGGCCAGACCTGTGCCACGTACTGCATCACACCTGATGTGCAGGATTTTACCGGAAACAGACAGGGAGTGGTGCTCCCATCTGCTCAGTTTCTGCCTCACTTTGGCGATATGCTCCTCTGAAGGTTTTGCCCATACCCCAGCCCCTCTGAACCATATTGCCAGCATCTTCAGGTAATCTGTCCTGACGGTGAAGGGGAGAAAGAATCTGTCGGCAGGTTCCCAAAAGAACATGGCTTCACTCTTGCCTTGATTTACCTTGACTACTGAGGCCAGTTTGAACTTGTCGCAGATGCTCACGATTCTGCTCACTGACAGCGGATCCGAGCAGAACACGGCCACATTATCCATGTACTTTGACCTGCACTGCCTGGAATAATCACCCCTGTCAGGCTCGCATCCTTCCTGACTTTTTTTTCCTTTATTCATTAATGGGATCAGGATGTCGCTGGCCAGGCAGCATTTATTGCCCATCCCTAATTACCCAGAGCGCAGTTAAGTGTCAACCACATTGCTGTGGGTCTGGAATCACATGTAGGCCAGACCAGGTAAGGTTGGCAGTCTCCTTCCCTAAAGGACATTGGTGAACCAGTTGGGTTTTTCCAGCTATTGCCAACAGATTCATGGGCATCATTAGATGCTTAGTTCCAGATATTTAATTGGATTCAAATTCCATCATCTGCCCATGGCAGGATTTGAATCTGGGTCCCCAGAATGTTATCTAGGTCGCTGGATTAACAAAGCAGCAATAATACCACGAGGCCATCGCCTCCCCAGACTCAGCAAATAGAATTGTATAACATGCAAACACAGCAGGAGAGAGTGGGCAGCCCTGCCTGACTCCAGATGAATCGGGAAACTTTCTGATTCCCACCCATTGATTGAGACTGTACTAACGATTTTGGTGTAGGTCAGAAATCACATGACACCAGGTTATAGTCCAACAGGTTTATTTGAAAATACAAGCTTTCAGAGCCTCCTTCCTTCTTCAGGTGTTAGTGAGAGAGGTGGAATCAGACACAGAATTTACAAGTAAAAGATCAAAGTGTCCCACCATTGATGAGGATGTATTAAACAAACCTAAGATGCTGTTAAATTTTTAATCAGTTAGAAGGTTTTAATTGATTAATATGTATATGTAAATCTCCGAATTTCTTTCAAGTCACTGCCCTGAGAGAACTAAAGAAGAGGTGACATTTTAGGTTAGACAATGCATGTTAGGTGTGAGGCATTATTTAGAATCTGTTTGTGGGTTTTGATTTGGAGTCAGACTGGCTTTATATCTAAAGTAGGAATTTATAAAACGCCACATTCACTGGGCTTTTGTTGGTGTAGGGTAGTCGGTTCCCATTGCAGTTTCCCTCCCCAAAGCCCACTTTTGGAGAGCATGTCCCGGGCTGATGATCAATATAGTTCCAAGTCAGGGTGATGAGTGGCATGTAAGGAGATGGCGTTCCCATGTATCTGGCCTTTGATGGTGGTAGTGACCATAGAGTTGGCAGGTATTGTTGGAGGAGCCTTGGAGAACATGAGAGTCTTGCTTTTCAAGAAGATGAACTGTCAAATTGAGTGAGAGAAGTTGGGGGGAACAATGTGAGCCAATCTCTGTTTTGTATGAAATTCCCATTTGAAAGGGAAGGTTTTTTTCGCGGTGGGTGGTTTCAGCCAATGGGAGGCAGCGTGTTAATTTCAGGACGGCCAATAGCAGCGCGACTAGGGGGATGCGGCCCCGCCTCCCGGGGGGGCTTTAAAAGTTGCCGCAAAAGTTTGGGAGTTTCTTCAGGGTTGTTTCCCGGAGAGAGAAAACAGGAGGTGACTGAGGAGGAAACCGGTTCCGAGGAATCACCACCGGGACAAGAGCAATGAGCGAGGCGGAGAGTGGTTCCCCTAATCCCGGGGAAAAGAAAGTCCTCGGTATGCTATGTGCAGAGCGAAAAGCTCCATTCTTTACCCACAACCAGCCCGCGCCTTGCTGAGTGGGGAAAATAATAATAATAATAATAATAATAATACAATCCCGCATTAGAGGCTTTACAGCTACAAGTTTAACCACTTGCGTGTTGAAAGACTTTTTATTTTAGCATACCCTTTCTTAATTTCACTTTTTTAAAAAAAATGAACTTGTAAGATTTTGAGAGGTATGCAGACTCTCTTATAGTTTGGATAACTTTTCTTAGGTGCATGTTAACTTCTTTGCTTTTTAAAATGTTGTATTTCCGTGGGCTGACAGCGTTTGAAATCCTGGTTATTTCAGAATACCGGTAGCGTTTTTTTTTCCACTCAAATGACCTTTGGTTTGTTGTCTCGCTTGTGGCAGGCCCCCTCCCTCTTTAAAATGTACTCTGCCCTGTGTGTCCTTTTTTTGGAAGGAGCTGGTTGCTGGGGAATTGTACTGAGTTAGGCTGAGAGTAAGGTGTGCTTTCATTTATAAATGCGATTGCGATGCAAGACTAGATTTGAGATGTTTGTATTTCCATCCGCCCTTCCTCTGCTCCCTCGGTTTCTCGCCCTCTAATCTTGATGGTTAAACCTCAGCTGTTCAAGTTGCTAACTTTTTAAGTGACTCTAGCTGTTTTGAGGAGGCATAATTTGAACTGTATGCAAATTAATTGCCACCCTTTAATAGGCTATTGGTGAGTTAATGCCTCTAACTGTTTGAGTTAAATGATTTCCTCCTAATCCCTGTTTTAAAGCTCTGAATACAAGTGCAGTTAGTCCCTAATGCTAGCACAGTATACGTTGGTCTCCTGGGTTTGAGCTAATTGGAATTTAATGTAGGGAGCGACAACAGATAACTGGTAGTGAGTGAGGAGTTGGGACACCACTTTTGGATTACTGTGTACAACTCTGGCTTCCTTTCCTGCTATAGGAAAGATGTTCTGAGACTTGAAAGGGTTCAGAAAAGATTTACAAAGGTGTCACCAGGGTTGGAGCTATAGGGAGAGGCTGAGGCTATTTACCCTGGAGTATTGAAGGCTGAGGGATGAACTTGGTTTATAAAATCATGAGGGGCAGCCAAGGCCTTTCCCCAGGGTAGGAGTGCCCATAACTAGAGGGGCATAGGTTTAAGGTGAGAGGGGACAGATTTAAAAGGGACTTAAGGGGCAACTTTCTGTACAGAGGGTGGTGTGTGTATGGAAGGAACTGCCAGAGGAAGTGGTGGAGGCTGGTACAATTTACAACATTTAAAAGACATCTGGCTGGGTATATGAATAGGAAGGGTTTAGAGGGATATGGTCCAAATGTTGCCAAATGGGACTAGATTTATTTGTGGAGGTACTGGGGTGGACAAGGACAAAAATCTCAACACCAGGTTATGGTCCAAAAGCTTTATTTGAAAACAAAGCTTTCTGAGCATTGCTCCTTCATCAGGTGTCCTGGTGTCATGTGATTTTGACATAGATTAATCTGGGATATCTGGTCTGTTTACATGCTGTACAGATCAAGACTGATGGTTTACTAGTATTTCTGATTTCATAGTTTCCCTACAGTGTGGAAAAACACCATTTGGCCCAACAAGTCCACATTCTCTTGAGCATCCCACCCAGACTCACCCCCCTACTCTACCACTTTAGGCTTGTATTTCCCATGGCCCCCTCAGGGAAGGGGGTCTGAATGAGACTTGTCACTTGCAGGTTAAGCAGACATCCTGAACTGTCTGGTCACCACACTATAGGAAGAATGTGATTGCACTGGAGAGAGTGCAGAGGATATTAACCAGGATGTTGCCTGGTTGCAGCATTTCAGATCAACCTCGCCTGCATGTCCCTGGACACTATGGGCAATTTCCCACGGCCAATCCACCTAACCTGCACATCTTTGGACTGTGGGAGGAAACCAGACCACCTTGAAGAAACCCAAGCAGACATAGAATCTGTAAACTCCTTGCAGATAATCATCTGAGGCTGGAATTGAACTCTGGTCCCTGGCACAGAGGCAGCAGTGTTAAACACTGAGCCACTGTCACCTATTCATTTGGTAAATGAATTCCAAGTACTGAACTCTGCCTGTCCAACGTTGGAAGAAATGTGACCATCTTCAATCATGTTTTTCTTACAAAATCATAGAATACTTGCAGAAAGAGGCCATTTGGCCCATCAATACTGCACTGACCCTCCAAGCATCCCACCTAGATGCAGCCCCGTAATCTTATCCCTGTAACCCCTCTTCAGTCCCACCCAGGTTTGTTTTTGTCTTTCCCATTATAAAGACACAATGGCACAAGCCAATTTTTTTCCTTTCTGAAGATTTACACTATTATCTGAAATAGTCATTGTTTTTCCTGTCAGATGATGCCTGTGAGCCTGCCATATTCCCTACATTAGTAGGAGCTGCACCTTCAAAAGTTCTTTGTTCATTGCTAAATGCTGTGGGATGTCATGAGGTGTTGAAGGGAGTCCTTTCTCTTAAAGTCATAATCAGAGATATTTAGCATGAAAACAGACCCTTTGGTTCAACTTGCCCTTGCTGACCAGATACCCTACATAAATCTAGTCCCATTTGGCCCACACCAATCCTGATGCCTTTTAAATGTTGTAACCATACCAGCCTCCAGCTTCACCCACTACCCCCAACCCCCAACCCTTCCTTCCCATTCCAACTTATTGCCATGCTTTGTGGCCCATCAAGTTTGCACACTCCTATCTACACCAATCCTGTTTGATCTGTAGTCTTGCATGTTATGACATTTCAAGTAATTGTCTGGCAACCTTTAATAGGTTGAGATTTCTTGCCTCTATTACCCTCTGTCAGCACATTCCAGATTCCCACCACCCTCTAGGTGAAAATTTTTTTCCTGGAATGTCCCCTAAACCTCCTGCCCTTATCTTGGAGTTATGCCTGTTTGTTTGTTGTTGACCCTTCAACTAAAGGGAGCAGCTGCTTTTAGCCAGTGTTCATGTCCCTCAATCTTGTACAGCTCAATCAGGTCCCTTCCCTGCTTTCTCTGCTCTAAAGTAAATGACCCCAGCTTATCCAGCCTCATTTATCTGAAATGCTGCAACCAGGCAACATCCTGGTGAATATCCTCTGCACTCTCTCTCCAGTGCAATCACATTCTTCCTATAGTGTGGTGACCAGACAGTTCAGGATGTCTGCTTGCCTGCAAGTGACAAGCCTCATTCAGACCCCCTTCCCTGAGGGGGCATTTCTTGCAAAGTGAGTTTTTCTGGAGGTGGAGATGGTGCTAATTGGGGAAATGAGCCTGACTATCTCTTTATGGATATTCCATGTAGCTTAACTTTTATCCTAACTTGCTCTCTCTTGCATGTCACAGCTAAAGGCGTTCTTGGTACGGTGAAGTGGTTTAATGTCCGAAATTGCTATGGATTCATTACAAGGTAATCTTTCCCCTGTCTGACCAAGATTCTGTTGCCCATTCTCAGTAACTGCTGGGGACAGGTTCTGTGCTGACTTAACTCTTCCCTAGACAATTAAGGGAGCTGTATTTTTCTCTCTACCCTGGTTCCATTGGTTGAGGTAATTTAGAATGAAGGGGTAGAGTCAAAATATTTGAGTCAGATTCTGGAGTAAAATTGTTGAATAGTAGAAGTTTGGAATGGTCTGTTTCAAATGGCAACTGATTCTTCAGTTTTATTTTAATCTAAGTGGTACATGTCTCTTGAATGTTGAACTAACTGGCTGAGCCAGCATTTGCTGCAGTCCTTGATTTAGGTACATCTACTATAGTGCCATCTGGGTGTTTGCTTGACCCACTGGCAACAGACAGTTAGTTTTTATCTCCTTTACTTTCCCTTTGCCCTCAGTCTGCTTTCTGGCCAATATAGTCTAACAGGGCTGGATTCCCAAAAACAGTTGTCTGGTTTTATTGAGATAACAAGGTGTAGTGCTGGATGAACACAGCAGGCCAAGCACCATCAGAGGAGCAGGAAAGCTGACGTTTTGGGCCTAGACCCTCCAGAAAGCTGAAGGAGGGTCTAGGCCTGAAACGTCAGCCTTCCTGTTCCTCTGGTGCTTGGCCTGCTGTGTTCATCCAGCACTACACCTTGTTATCTCAAATTCTCCAGCATCAGCAGTTCCTACTATCTCTGGTTTTATTTTCTTCCCTGGATGATGCTCCACACCCTTTTGGCTCTAGGAGAACTGTCCCCTCCAGCTCCCTTCTCAAGATATTCACTTAGTTTCTGTAGGTAGAGCCCTCGGGACAGGAAATATGCTGAATAAAAGTAACTGACTTGGCTTGAGCATAAATGGACCATTTAGCTGAAATGCTGGTGCTCCAATGGCTTTAGGACCCTGGAGCAACCTTTTTTGTTAGTGATATTGAGCAGCTCCTGACTGTGTATAAATAGGCAGAATGAGTAGACAAGGTCAGAAATCACATGATACCAGGTTATAGTCCAACAGGTTTACTTGAAAACGCAAGCTTTCAAACAAACCTGTTGGCTCTAACCTGGTGTTGTGATTGCTGACCTTGTCCACCCCAGTCCAACACTGCACCGCCACAGAATGAGTAGAGAAAGATGTATGGTGAGTCTTAAGTCAAACAGCCCAACGTTAGACACCTGCAAAGAAAGGTTGTTGACTTGCTCACCAAGCTGGCTGGTTATCATGCACTGTCATATACAATAACCAGCCATCTTGGCAAGTCAGCTAATAACCTCATCCACAATCCAAGCTACAAATCCTCAGAACCTTAAACATGCACTACCCTGACTACCATTAGATGGTAATGTTTACAAGGCCTTCATGTTAATTCATAAATATTCTGTAGTTTGGTTTTCAAATCTTGCAAAAAATCCTCCAACCTTAGACCTTTCTTGACATTGCTTTGACCTTTCTGACCAGTGTGTCTTGAACCCAAACTCATGGCAGAGGGCATAACACCATGCAGATGTTCCACGTGAACTAACTGTCCCCCAAGTGCTCACCTATCAGTACTCTTATTCCCTTCTCACTTCTGTTTATCCAGCTTCCCTCTTCAATGTATCTATACTACTTCCTCAAACACTCTGGGAAGCTAGTTTGACATTCACCCCACTCCAGGGGACGATGCTTCTTTGGATTCTGGGATTTGCGAAGGACTGTCTGATATTGACCTAAAGTTCTGAGATCTCCTGCAAACTAAAGCATCTTGATTTGCCCCATCAAACCACCTCCAATGATTAAAGACCTCAGTTCAGTCACCACTCTAGGGGTTAGGGGGCCCCTAGCTTGTTCAACCTGCCCTTTGATTGGGAAAAGCCTTGAGCTCAGTAATGCTGGTATGTTCTGCAATGTGACCATGTGTGTTTTTATATCTAACATTTAGAACATAATGACTTGTACTTCAGAAGTCATGAAGCCACTCTTTATTAGTTTGCACAGTTTGTTGTTTCCATGATGTAGAGGTGTCAATGTTGGACAATGTCAAAGATCACAACACCAGGTCATAGTCCTACAGATCTATTTGAAAACAAGCTTTCAGAGACACCTGAAGAGTGAGACCAAAGCTTGTCTTCAAATAGACCTGTTAGACTGTGACCTGGTGGTGTGATTTTTGACCTTGTTATTTCTGTGGTGATTTGAGGTTTTGGCCTACAAGTCTACTCACTTTCATAGGTAACTGAGGGAGGTAAATTATGATTAAAACACAGAATATTTGATTAAAATTTCAAAGGTTAAAGTTTGAGTATTCCTCCTTAGACATGTGCTTTGTTCCATGTCACATACTGTACCTAGTCTGGCCTAAGCAGCTTTGAGCTAGCCCCTGCTCCCTTGGTTTATTTATTATCAGCTGTGTCTTGGTGAATAACCCCCTGATCCCAACCCTGTCTAAGGACCCCTCCAGAGACTTCAGCATGCTGCCTTTTTGAATGAGATGCTGCACCAAAGGTCCCTTGTTGGTCCCTTTGCTTGCTGGCTCAATTGAACCTGTTTCACATTCAAAAGGTTTAGATTTTTTGGTGGTACAGATTTGCTGGGCTGCAGGGCTTATTCTGTACTGTATTGTTCTAATATTGCTGGCAAAGGTGGGAGAATAAGCAACTTATTCACTGCCATCCAAATGGGTGAAACTGTTTCATTCTGCTCTTACAATCTTGTGGTTTGATCTGAAGAACAAGTTCCCTGAGCCAAGTAATACCTGACACTTTTTTTGATTGACAGATGAGGTTGGTCTTTATTTGTGGGATTTTGCTGTGCAATCTATCTATCACTTGTGGCATTTCAAAAATAGTTCATTGGTTAAGGTCTTTGTTAAAGTATCATTACAAAATTCACTTCACTTTTCATGTTTGTGTTCACTGTTTGCTTTCCTTTCTCCTTTATTCCTCCCCTGCCCCTCATTGCCTTTTTTATCTAGGCATGACACACAACAGGATGTATTTGTTCACCAGGTATGAATTTTAAAGTGCACTCTAATTAGCTCCTTATTAGGAATGTTACTTGGCAGCCTGGATAGTGGATTGAGTACTGTTTTCTAGGGCTTTCAATTAAGGTTTTTCCTGTCAAAAGCAAACTTTGGAATGCTCCCATGACGGTCACTATTCACCATCCTTGCAAGGTTCTGATAGGCATATTAGTTAGTGAGTGGGATGGGGAGGTGTTTATCCTTACAAGGTGTGATCTATTAGGCAGATCTCAATGCTTCCAGATATTTGTGCTAACTGCTCAGGGCAGTGAGGGAGTTTTACTTTGTATCTAATCCTCTCCTCAACCTCTCCTGGCAGTATTTCTAAACCTGGACTTAGAAGCACTAAGTATTCAATTTTTAACTAACTTTCTGGTTGTGGCCTTGTTAATCTGTACCTTTGACTGCCCAATTTCAACATTGCAACTGTTTCCTTTCCTCTCTCCCCTCTGGGGAAAGTGAATACTGATCCTACTATTTCCCTACCCTAAACGTCACTCACTTGAATGACAAACTCAGAAAAGGAATTAAACACTGGGGTTGGGTGATCTGCTTCTAATGGAGACCTAGATAAACAATCTACTGCTTTTGCAACAACCCAAAATTTCTGGAGACCCTGGTGCTGAGGACAAGACAGCAACAGGCCCTTCAGCCCATGTTGTATCAAACATGATGCCAAATTAAACTATTCCCTTCTGTCAGCCTTCAGGCCATATTCCTCCATTCCTTGCAAATCCATGCTTGTTTAAAAGCCCATTAAATGCCCCTATTGTATCTGCCCCACCACCACCCTAGCAGTGTTCCAGATTCCTACCATTGTATAGAATGAAAATAACTTGCCCCTTATCTCTTTTGAACCTGCCCACCTTAGATGCATGCTCCTTGGTGTGAGATGTTTCAACACCAAGAAAGAGATTCTGACTGTCAACCTATCTATGCCTCTCAACTTTATTGACTTCTATCAAGTCCCTGCCACTTAGTGTCCACTGCTCTGGAGAAAACAACCTGTTTGTTCAGTGTCTCCTTACAGCTGATACCCTCTAATGCAGGCAGAATCCTGGTAAATCTCTTCTGCACCCTCTCCAAATATCCACATTTTTCCTGTAATGTGGTGACTATAATTAAATGCAATACATAGAACATTAGTGCAGTACAGGCCCTTTGGCCCTCTGTTGTGCCAACCTGTGAAACCAATCTGAAACCCATCTAACCTACACTATTCCATTATCATCCATATGTTTATCCAATGACCATTTAAATGCCCTTAAAGTTGGCAAGTCTACTACTGTTGCAGCAGCGCCCCTGTCCCCAGTATGTTTGTTGTTCAAATCGGTCCCAAAGTATGAAAATCTCTCTCTTCACCTGGCAGTGGAAGGAGTTCCTTGAATCTTGCACAAAGTGCCTAATATTCACAGGTTTTCATGGGATTCACTTCAGGTGGTTGTGTCCAGCACAAATTGTCCTTAATACCATCAACAACACCAAACACTCTAAATGTGGCCAAATCAAAGCCTTATAAAGCTGCAACATGATATCCTGACTGTTGTATTCAATGCCCTGACCAATAAAGGCAAGTGTGCTATATCCAGATAAGCAAGCTGCTGCATTAAACTCCATGTGCCATATTTCCACCCATTTCTGCAACTGATCTATACCCCACTGTATCCTTTCACAATCTATCCACAAGTCCACCAATCTTTGTATTGTCTTCAAACTTACTAACCCACTGGTGTTTTCATCTGTCATTTTATATGAAAATATCTCAAACAGCAGAGGTCTCTATGGATCCCCATGTAACACTACTTGTCACAGACCTCCAGACAGAAAAACATACCCTTCCACAACTACCTTCTGCTTTCTATGGGCAAGCCAATTCTAAATCCTAGTGGCCAAGACACCATGGATCCCATGCATCGTAATCTTCTGGGTGAGCCTACCACGAGGGACCTTAAATCATGTAGACAACATCCAATGCTCTACACTCAGATCACCTTTGTCAACTCCTTGAAAAATTCAGTCAAGCTAGTAAGATGTGACCTGCCCTGCCCTGCCAGGCTGACTGTCCCTAATTAGGCCATGCTTTTCTAAATGCATGTAAATCATATTCCTAAGAACCCACTCCAATAGCTTCCCAACCATTGACATGAGACTCACTGGTCTACAGTTTCCTGGATTATCCCTTTCCCCTCTTGAAAAGAGGAACAACATTAGCCAGTCCTCCAGTGGCTAGTGAGGGTATGAAGATCTTGCTTAAGGCCCCAGCAATCTCTTCTCTTCACTCAATAGCCTGGGGTAAATACCATCAGGCCCTAGGGACTTTTCTACCCTAAATGCTCTTCAAGAGATCCAACACCACTTCTTGATCAGAAAACACCCTAGCACATTAGCATATGCCACACAAATCTCACTATCTTCCATATCCTTCTCTTGGGTGAATACTGATGCAAAGTAATCATTTAGGATCTCTCCCACATTCTGTCTCCAAGGAGTTCCCTCCTTTTACCTTGGAGTGGTCCTACCTTCTCCCTTGTTATCCTCTTTAATATGTCTGTAGAATGTCTTGGGATTCTCTAACCCTGCTCTCCAAGATCACTTCATGGTTCTTCCTTGCTTGAATACTTTCCTACTTTGTTCCTCACAGGTCCTGTCCAAGTTTAGCTTTTAAACATTACATATGTTTGTTCCCTTTTTGACTAAATTTACAACCTCCCTTGTTATCCAATGGTCCCTTACCTTGCCATCCTTCACTTCCCCCTTACTGGAACATGCTAGTCTTGAATGTTCCCCAGCAGGTCACTTTTTTATAAAAAAAAAAATAAAAAATTCCCATATGTCAAATGTGGACTCATCTGATATCAACAGCTCCTGCCTAATACTGTTACAACTTTCCCTTCCCCAATTTAGTACCTTTTCCCACAAGGTCCTGCCTTGTCCTTGTTCATATCTGTTAAAACATGAGTTGTGATCACTGTTACCAAAATGCTGTCCCACTGAAAGTTTGGTCATCTGGCCAGGCTCATTAGCCAATACAAGGTCAAGTTTGTGCCCCCCCCCCCACTAGGTGACTATCCATGTCTGTTTCAAGAAACCTTTTTAGGATGCACCTAATAATTCTGGTCCATCTAAGTCCCTTGCTGTAAGGGTGTCCCAGTCAACACTGGGGGATGTTAGTCATCCACTGAACTGTTTTTATTGTCCCTTTCCATAAACTGCCTACATATTTGTTTCTCAATGTCTCAGTGGCTGTTTGGGGTTCCTACAGTATCCTATCAGTGATTGCACCCATCTTATTTTTGAGCTCTAGCCATATTGGCTCAGTGAATGAGCCCTCCAGTATGTCCTCTGTGCAGATATAATGTTCTCCCTGATTAATAATGCAACTCCTCCACCTCTTATCTTCCCCAATGAAACCCTGAAACATTGAGCAGCCAGACCTGACACTTTCTCAACCAAGTCTGTGTGATGGACACAACAACATAGAGCCTGGAGCAAAAAAATTGCTAGGGATGCTCAACAGTTCTGGCAGAACTGTGAAGGAAAAAACAGTTCATGTTTTGTGTCCAGTGACCCTTCCTCAGAGCTCATAGAGCCTGGATCAGTATGTCAGACTAAGCTCATCTGTCTGACCCATAATACTCCTTGCATTGAAATAAACACACTTTAGCCCAGCAGTCCAATTGCTCATTTACCTGCCTTTGCCTGTCCTTCCTTTGTCTGACTGGTCCTAACAGCCACCTTCCCTTCAATCCCTCAGCTTGCTAACCTGCTGCTCTGGTTCCTAGCCCCTTGTTTTTCTAGATTAAACTCACCCAAGTTGCACTAGTGAACCTCCCTCCCCTTTTAGTTTAGGTGCAACCTGTCCCCCTTGTACAGGTGACCCCTGCCCCTGAAGTCTCAATTATCCAAGAGCCTGAAACCTTGCCCCCTTCACCAGCTCCTTAGCCACACACCTTCATCTGTCCTATCTTTCTATTCCTTGCCTCATTAGCACATGGCAGTGATATTAATTCAGATATTACTACCCTCAAGTTTTGCTTCTGCCTCTTTCCTAATACTCTGTACTCTGCAGGAGCTCATCCTTCTTCTATCAGCCTTCCCCATAAGAATTTCTTGCAACTGCTCAGGTGTCCTTGACTCTGGCACCAGGGAGATGTCAACACCATTCTGCAGTCTCAAACTCTGCCACAGATGCCTGTCTGTGCCACTAACCAGTGAGTCACCTAATGCTCACTTGCTAGGGCTTTGCCTGACCCTGCTGCTGTTGATACAGTTCCCTGAGAGGCTATTCTGCCCAATAGTATCCAAATCAGTATTGCTATTAGAAAGTGGAATATCCACAGGAGACCCCTGTACTACATGCCTGCCTCTCCTGGCAGTCACCCATCTACCTGCCTGAACCTTTGGAGTGGTCACCTCCCTCTAACTTGTTTATTACACTGTCTGCTCCTGTATGCTCCTCAGTGTCCAACTGCTGTTCCAGCTGAGCCATGTGGTCAGAGGATCTGCAACAAGTCCACTCTCCCTCTCTGAACAGCATCCCATCCCTCTCCCTAACCCTGTAACCCTGCATTTGTCACTGTTGACACAACACACCTACACATCCCTGAACACTGAGTAATTTACTATGGCAAATCCACCTAATTGCATATCTTTGGACTCTGGGAGGAAACTGGAGTGCCTGGCAGAAACCCATACAACATAAAGAACGTGTAAACTCCATGGACAGTTGCCTGAGGGTGGAATTGACCCAGGTCCCTGGTCCTGTGAGGCAGCAGTGCTAACCACTGCCACCCTGCAGATAGTTGCTGTTACACCAACCTGCTTCCTGACATACAGCCCTAACTACCATGTCTCATCCTTGCACTGGGATGAAAATCTTATTTTGCCTTCTCTTTCTGAAGCCTTATATTCGCCTAAGGCTGCATTTATACCAACTGCCACCACACAGCAACAGCCCCTCGATATTCTGTTGGTAATATCTAAATAACTGGTTACTGAAATTGGACTTACAAATTGCAAAAGAACCCAGTATCAGGGAACAGTAATCTACTGTTAAGTCAGTGACTGATTTCTCCAGAATGTTCCTCAGTGTGTCTCTGCTGCCCTCTGGATGCTGAAATGTTATCTCTGCCTTTTTCTCTACAGGATGCTGTCAATCCTGTTTCTCCAGCAATTTAACTTTGCTTCAGATTTTCAGTATCCAGTTCCACTTTAATGAGATGCAGAAGCACTACAGTAACTGGGCCAGACAAGAAACAACCTACTGTCTAAAAACCAACCCTTCTGTCTACCCTGTCAAGTCCCATAAGAATTTGATGTTTCTAAACTCAATTAAGGACTCAACTACACCACCTCAAGACAGTCCTTTCAGCCTAGTGAACCGTTTCCTGACTGATCCCAATGCCAGTAGATCTTTCCAGATGTGGTCTAACAAGTGGCTTGTGAATTCTTAACAAGATTTCCCTATTTTGTACTTGTTCAGAGTTGTAGTCATACAGCATGGAAACAGACCCTTCGCTCCAACTAGTCCATGCTGACTGTTCCTGACCAAAACCAGTCCCACCTGTCAGTTTGGCCCATATTCCTCAACCTTTCCTCTGCATGAACTTATCCAAATGTCTTTTTAAGCTTTAACTGTACCTGCATTCACCACTTTTCCTGGCAGTTTATTCCATACACTAACAATTGTTTTTAAATGTTTCCCCTTTTTTCTTTAAATCTTTCTCCTTTCACCTTTTTCTAAAAAAAAAAAGCCCCCTAGTTTTCAACTGTCCCACCTTAGGGGAGTAAACCTTTGCTATTCACTTTATCTGTGCCCCTCATTATTTTATAAGCCTCTAAGGTCACCCCCCTCAACCTCCTACATTCCAGTGAAAAAGGTCCCCGGCCTCTCCTTGTAACGCAAACCCTCCAATCCCAACCATATCCTGGTAAATCTCTTCTGAACCCTCTCCAGTTTAATAATATCCTTCCCATAACATGGTGATCAGAACTGCACAGTACTCAGGCATCACCAGTGTCCTCTACAACCTCAACGTGACATCTCCACTTTTACTGAAAATGTCTGAGCAGTGAAGGCAAGCATGTTACTGGCACCATAACCACCCTATCTTCAAAGAATTACGTATCTGAACTCTTAGGTCTCAGTTCTACAATACTACCCAATGCCTACCTTTTAATGGAAACAAAACAAATTGCTGGAAAAGCTCAGCAGGTCTAGCAGCATCTGTGAAACTTTGATCACTACTTTTTTTAATGGTCTAAGTCTTCCCTTTTGTTTTACAAAAATGCAATACTTTGCATTTATCCAAATTGAACTCTACCTGCTACTGTTCAGCCCACTGACCTGATGAAGATCTCTGAAATCCTAGATAATCTTCACTGTCCACTGTACCACCAATTTTGGTGTCATCTGCCAACTTACTAACCATGCCTCTTATGTTCTCCTGAAATAATTTGCATAAATGATAAGCAAAAGTGGACACAGAACAGAACCCTTCAGAGCTCTACTGGTTACAGGTCTCCAGTCTGAAAAGCAATCCTCCACCATTACTGTCTCCTGACATTAAGCCAATTATGTATCTAGTTGGCAAGCTCAGCCTGAATGCCATGTAATCTAACTTGACTAATTAGTTTACCATGTGAAACCTTGTCAAAGGCTTTACCAAGTCGAAGTAAACAAGTTTACTGCTCTGCCTCCACCAATCTCTTTGGTTACTTTCTCAAACTCCAAGTTTGAGACACTATACTTTCCTGCACAAAAATGACTCTCTCGTCAGTCCTTGCCCCTCAATGTATGTAAATCCAATCTTTCAGAATCATCTCAACTTGCCCACCACTCGGACTCATAGGTCTGTAGTTCCTAGGCTTCTCCTCCTGCAGCTTTTCTTAAAGGCACAAATTAGCCATCCTCTAGTACACTGGCACCTTGCCTGTGGAGGTTAGATAATGCAAATATTTCTGCTAGGGGCCCTGCATCTTCTTCCTCACTTCACATCCTGGGATACACTTGATCAGATCCTGGAGTTTTATCTGCATTTTTATCTTAAGATTTCCAGCACTTCCCCTTCTGGTAATATGAACTGTTTTCAAAACATTAATGTTTATTTCTGAGTTCTCTACCCTACATTTCTTTATCAACAGTAGAAACTGATGAAATAATGACTTTATCTCTCTCATCTCAACAGTCAACAGACTGATCTTTGATCATTGATCTCTTAAAGGGTCCTAATCTTCAGTTGCTCTTTTGCTCTAAATGCATTTGTAGAATCTCTTGAATAAAGCCAGTGTTTAATTTTCCCTCCTTACTGATCTTGTCATCCTCATCCCATGCCTTCCCACCTCTCTTGCCATCCACAAACTGGTAATGTTATGACCACTTTCCTCACCCAAGTCGTGACTATTGCAAGTAATGTGACAGCATCACTGATCCCTGTGGCACTCCTAGTTACAAATTACCATCCAGAAAATGCCTCTTATCCAGTTATTTTTACCAATTAGCCAATCCTCTGTCCCTGCTGGTAAATGGTCTCCAACATCCTGGGCTTTTATCTTGGGTAGACTAACATGTGGTAGCTTATTAATGCCTTCTGAAAATGCAAATATAATCCATCCTCAGGGAGGGCAAGGATGGGGTTGACTGGCTCCTGAGGTCAAAGTTTTTGGTACTGCTTTCTAGACTAATTATCAACTAACTGAAGGTCCCTTGTGGAATGCTGCAGTGCTGTCTAGGCTGGCACCTCATTCACTGTTGAATCCATTGGTAACAGGTGACCTTGTATCTGATCTTGTCCACAGTCCTGTTACCTGCTCTCCCCCGAGCCCATTAATTGCTGTTGCCACCATAACTAGCACCTTCAGCTTTAAAATCAGCATGCATGTGTTCAAATTGCTGTGATCTTGTCCTGCTGACTCTAACCTGCACTGGCCTTAACCCTCTATCAGCATTTCTGACTCTGACCTTGTGTCCTCTGACTGTAATTGGTCTACCATGGGGCAGCTTCCAGAATTTCATCAACATGATAACCTCTCTTCTCTTAACCCTCCTTGAAACCCATCTGATTACCTGACTGTTAATATTTCCAGACTTAGCTTGGTCAAATTTGGCCTGATTATCTCTGCTGTAGTGACAAAGTTTGAATTTTATGAAAGGTGCTAGGCAAATGTAGTTGGTTGCTATAGCCCAGAAAGTTGTCTGTGGAAGTGACATCTGCCAGCTTTTTTACCTGTCATGGGGGTTAGCCTTTGGCCAATCATCTACATTCCTAGACTGGGTGCCAAGTTACATTCCCTCTTCTAGAGGATTCAGTTGTGCCATGCCATTCATTTCATTTCCTTGCTCCTAACTCTGATATCTTCTCACCCCAATCCCTGAAGACTGCCATCACCAGAAACAATCCCCGCAAGTACCTACGAAGTGTTGGGAATGGAGAGATTGTGGAGTTTGATGTCGTCGAGGGAGCCAAGGCAGAGGTATTGTTCCAGTTTCCTGGTGCATTTGGGGTGATGTGCAGGGCCCTGGCTGACCTGGTTCCTGGGGAACTTCGCCCTCATCCTGTCCATTTTGCAATTCCTGAGTTGTGCCTCTATGGGAGTGGCTGGCCATTCAATTGTAGCGGGCATCTTGCTAAACAGAATTCCTATTTGTTGCTGGGTCTAGGGGAAAGCCAACCAAACAGCTCCAAATTCCCCCCCTCTTCCTTGTGTTCCTGGGGTTGTTTATCCCTCAGCTAAAATGATGGATGCTATAAAACACAATCATGGCAAGTGCAGACTGACTCAAAGCCTACTCTAACTTTGAACATAATTATTGCTGATCCATTATCTTAATGCCATACTTGTACTCTATCCCTGTACCTCCTTGGCACATTCTGATTTGGTCAGATGTACAGCATGGAAATGCTCTTTTTTGGTCCAACTTGTTCATGCTGACGAGATATCCAAAATTAATCTAGTCCCATTTGGCCCTATCCTTCTAAACTTTTCCTGTTCATGTATCTGTCTGGATGTCTTTTAAACATTGTAATTGTATCAGTATCCATCTCTGGCAGCTCATTCCATACATGCACCATGGTCTGTGTGGGGAGGAGGAAAGAAGTGTTGCCACTTGGGTCACTTTTAAATCTTTTCCCCCTCTCACCTTTAAACCTATGCCCTCTAGTTTTGGACTTGCCTGCCTCTGGGAAAAGACCTTGACAAATCACCCTATCTATGCTTAATGATTTTATAAACTTCCCCTCAGGTCACCCCTCAGCCTCCAACACAACAGGGAAAATAGCCCCAACCATAGCAACACCCTTAAATCTTTTCTGAACTGTTTCAAGTTTCTCAATATCTCTCCTATAGCAGGGAGACCAGAATTGAATGGTTTTCCAAAAGTGGCCTGACTAATGTCCTGCACAATTTGCAACATGACCTCCCAGCTCCTATACTCAATGCACTGACCAATGACAACAAGGTGCAGGGCTGGATGAACACAGCAGGCCAAGCAGCATCATAGGAGCAGAGAGGCTGACGTTT